GTTACTTTACCCAACTTTTTAAAGGTAATTTAATCATTGATCATATGTATATATATGTATATTAATGATGCTGGCGAGTCACTTTAGAAAGTGAAAATTAACTGTTTAATAATCGATTGTATGTATAACAATTCCATTCAGTGACTCATGCAAATGGTTTGTATGTTTAGTCATTGTCTGTTAATGATGATGTCTTTTTTGTTCCTAGTTTGACAAGAACACAGAAGCACAAGAACATTTGAGACTCGTAGATCTAAGTGAATAAAACATGGCCAGGTGGTTAGAGCGCTCGACTCGCAATCTGCGGGTCGTGGGTTCGAATCTCCGTCACACCAAACATGCTCGCCCTTTCAGCCGTGGGGGCTTCATAATGTGACGATCAATCCCACTATACATTGGTAAAAGTGTAGCCTAAAAGTTGGCGGTGGGTGGTGATGACTAGCTGCCTTCCCTCTAGTCTTACACTACTAAATTAGGGACGGCTAGCGCAGATAGCCCTTGTATAGTTTTGCGCGAAATCCATAACAAACAAACAAACAAGTGAATAAAAAATTTTCAAAAGTATTAAAGCTGGAATATGGAGAATTGAGCCAGGCATAAAAAATATATTTGTTTGCTGTAACCCTAAACTGATTTAAAATGTGGGTAGGTAGATAAATGTTTTTTTGTTTTTTTTTCAAATTGTTTCGGAAACAACCCTAGTTCCGTGATCACCTAAAGCGTTAACCACAAATACAATTACTATCCACATTTATTCTATGAAGAGAATTACTGAAATTTCAAATTCTTTCGCAACACACTAGCTGGTCAATATCGAAGTTGAATTGACTGTTGCCCACAATTTTACGGTTTGTTCTTCCATTTCATCTCGTTTTTCAAGTAAATATACAAGTACTTCACGTGGATAAGTTTCCAATTGGAATTCATTTATTTTTGATCCTAATCCTCAATCCGCGAGAACATTTTTCGAAGACGGATACATTGAATAGACTTGTGTTCACCTTGTTATTGATGTATTCTCATCATTAGTAAATTCTCTCCTGCTAGGTCGTGTATTGATTAGTTTAGCTTGAAGGGTTCTGGGGACGAGATAAGCCATGTTGACAAACTTCAATGCATTAAAATTAAAGAATAGGTTGAACAGTCGCCAAGTTTTTGTTATATTTTTATTTAAAGCAGGAATTAAATTATAAAAAAAAGTAGAGAAACTTAGCTGAGTGAAGTGTACCTGTTTTTGAAAAATAAAAATAAATCTACGTGTAAGCATAAAAAACGACAAAGCAGCTCAAATAGGTCCCGGTACTAGTACCGCTTTAAGAAATAAGTTGAACTACATTTTGGATGCGTATTTATAAATAGCAACTGAAGCCTAGAACTTTCCACACGCTATAAGATATTATGATGTATTAATACTCGAGAAAACTTAGAAGGTTCTATAACATGACGCAATAATACAACAATCGCAACCTATGATTCACACAGTTATGTAAACAAACCTGCGATAAACCATCGTCTCAAAAAATAACTAAATTTAACATTCGCACTATACTTAAATTAAAACATTCGTGTATATCTAACGATATCCTAACCATAATACGGCGAAAAAAATTTTGAATGATGAAACTTTGTAGAATGGACGGCAACTGCATATTGTAGAGGACGATGTTTCGAAAGTCTTCCACCTTCTGGTCAATGTGTTACTTACTCATGTGGCAGAGGTTCAGTTTGAAGAGAGAGAAGACGAGACTTCTCTCCCCAACTGGGGTGCTCAGGAACACTTTGTTCCTCTTCAACCCCGCTCGTGGAATGTTAATACTCGTGATTCCGGAGGAAAAAAAAGGGGGGGGGTAAGGAGCTTTATTTTTGTGTTCAAATGTTGCTGCTACAGGGAGACACCAGGCGTTTTTATATGTGTGGAATTTGCGATATAGGGCGGGAACCTATAAGTTTTATGCCCCAAATTTAGGTGTGGGGGAGACCAAAGTACTCGGAGAAAACTCACTTTCACAGGGCAGACGCCGAATAATCTGTCTGCCCTGTGCCCAAGCTGGAAAAAAAAAGAAAATGATTAAACTTGACATAAAGCATACATACATTAGGTTAGCCATCGTGGTTTTGTGTGAAAAGGTTGTATGGGGAGATGTGTTTGTAGGGGGCGCTGGCAATTTTACAGTGTGTGCTTGTCAGGTTGTTTCTGTTTTCTGCTTTTGTGTACTACTTATGCGCTAGATCAGTTAGCCTACTATTGAGGGCAGGGAGATTGCTTATTTTGTGTAGGTATTTAATAGGGGTGTATCTTTGTAATTTGTGGGCTAATTTTAGTATCTTATTTTGTTGTTTTTGTATTTTATGTAGTGTATTGTTGGCCATATTATAAGCTATCTGGCAGCTGTATTCTATGAGTTGGTGAATGTATGCTTTGTATATTTTGAGTATTGTTTCTGCTGTGCATCCAGTGTTTTAGTCGGCTATTGTCTGTAGGTGGGTGATACGTTTTCTGATGGACGAGTGTATGTTTTGTCCATGTTATGCCAAGGAACTTGATGTGGTTACTTATTTCTATTGGTGTGTTTCCAAGTTTTACTTCAACTTTGCTTAACGTTTTTCTGTGTCTTTTTAGTTTTCTGCATAGAGTTATTGCTTGGGATTTTGATGGGTTTAGTACAAACCTCCATTTGTTACACCAGCTGAGAATGGCATCCAGTGATTTTTGGACTCATGACATGGCCAAGGTAGGATTTCTGGATAGACTCCAGACTGCAATGTCGTCAGCGTACTGAGAACATGTTAATTTGGCTAATGGAAATGTCACTTACGAATATGATGTAAAGAAGTGGCAAAAGGACAGATCCCTAAACAGAGATTCTGGATTAGATGTGAGTAACCTGTGGCTACCATCTCTCCTCCAATCAGGAACAGGGATAAACCAACCAATCATAACTCACAATCCACCAGAATATTATAAAGACTGACAACACCTTACACACACAATACTATATATATATATAATTTTTTTAAATTAATTTTTTTGCCCACTTAGCCCATTAAAACTTCTAATTTTTAACCTTGAGCAGGGTGAAGGAGGATTGCTACTCTTCGAACACCCTT